AAGTGGTCATCCCCCGAGGGGTCCCAGACTGTGAGAGGGCACAGGCCGGGCTGAGGGACCTCCTCCCCCCCGAGTGCACAAATTTTTGTGCACCGGGCCTCTAGTCCTCTATAATAAAAAGGTAATATGCAAATCGACCGAATGGCAGGATGCCTGGTTGCTATGACGTGCACTGACCACCAGGGGGAAGATGCTCAGTGCAGGAGCTGTCCCCTGGTGGTCAGTGTGCTCTCACAGGGGGAGCGCAACTCAGCCAGAAACCATGAGCCGATCTCACGGCTGGCGAGCACAGCTGCAGTGGTGGGCAGCGCTACGGATGTCCGACTGCTAGTGGGGGGCGGGCCTAAGCCATCATTTGTACATCCCCAAGGGCTCCCAGACTGCAAGAGGGTGCAGGCCAGGCTGAGGGCACCCCCCGCCGAGTGCTCGAATTTCATGCACTGGTCCTCTAGTCTATATACATAAAAGGCTAAGTGACCGGCTGGTAGCTATGACACGCACTGACCACTAGGGTGCAGACACTCAACACAGGAGCTGCCGAGTGACAGCAACTTTGCAGAGTGCCCTCTCACACTCTGGGACCCCTTGGGGGATGTTGGACTACCGATTTCAGCCCGATCCCCGCAGACCAGGCCAAGGGATCCCACCTGCTGGAGGGGCCTTGCTCACTCTGCAGATGGCCTTCAAGCCCCAGCGCCACCCTCGGTGTGGCCAGCTGGAAAAGAACCGCAGGAGGTTGGCTCCAGGGCGTGTCCAGCCCATCTCACCCAGTCCTGTCCCACTGGCCACCTTCTAATTAATTTCCTTTCAATCTGCACAAATCTGAGCACCAAGCCTCTAGTATTTCCATAATAAGTGAGATTAAGTAAATTCAATTTTTAAAAAAGATTTTCTGGTGGAGTGGGATGGAGGAAATGGTAATGTTTCTCAATTTATTGGAAGAGAAATGCCTTTTCATTTGAAAAATGTAAAATATACTTGCAAACTCTCCTTTTCCCTTATTATTAATTTAGGCTATCCATTGAATTCATAACCAAACTCAAAAATAAAATTCAAATCTATATCTATTCATAAACTTTTTAAATTATTTAATTGTTGAACACTTATGAAAACATAGTACTGTAAGTGATCATTCCTCTTTGTGCTGCTCTTAAACCTATATTATTTGGAAAATATTTATGCTGGCTGAAATGTCTTTGCTTTGAAATATTTATTGATAGTGAAGAATGAGATATCAAAGAACATATTGAGTCATAGTCCTGTGGCATTTCCATCAGAAGAAATAAACACAGAGTACATTAGAAATCCAAACATGATGCTCAAACATGTGAATTAGTAAAATAGCTATATCAATTTGTCCTATAACTAATATCCTTAAAGATATAAGCTTTCACCCAGCCAGTGTGCCTCAGTGATTGATCATTGACTTATGAACCAGGAGGTCATGGTTTGATTCCTGGTCAGGGCACATGGCTGGGTTGTTTGATCCCCAGTGTGTGGTGTGCAGGTGGCAACCGGTCAATGATTCACTCTCATCATTGATGTTTCTATCTCTCTCTCCCTTTCCCTTCCTTTCTGAAATCAATGAAATAAAAAAATTTTAAATTACTATTACTGTCCCCATTTTACAGATAAAGAAACTAAGGCTGTTTGACTTAGGGTAAATCCCTTCACCACCTTCTTTCTCAGGTTATACCAAGTACAAACCAAGTCCCACAGGGGAGCCACAACAATTATCTAAACATTCATCATTCCATAAGTTTGCTGAGCACTTACTATATGCCAGACACTGTTCAAAGTGCTTGGAATGCCTCAATGAATCAGACAGACAAAATCCCCCTTCCTTGTAGAATTTACATTCTAGTTTTAGGTTGGTGGTGGGTACCAGAGCTGTGCTCTTAGCCACTGTGTACAGCTCCCCAACCTAATGGACTTGTAAAATCTCTTACCTTTATACTAGAGGCCCGGTGCATGAAATTCATGCACTCGGGGTGGGTCATCCCTCAGCCCGGATTGCGAAAGGGCTCAGGCCAGGCCAAGGGACCCCACTGATGCACGATTGGGGCCAGGGAGGGACGCAGGAGGTTGGACAGCCGGGGAGGGACCACGGGAGGGCTCCAGGGCATGTCTGGTCCGTCTCGCTCAGTCCCAATCGGCCAGACCCCAGCAGCAAGCTAACCTACCGGTCGGAGCGTCTGCCCCCTGGTGGTCAGTGCACGTCATAGCAAGCAGTTGAACAGCCTTAGCACATCATTAGCATATTACACTTTGATTGGTTGAATGGCTGACCAGACAATCGGACACTTAGCATATTAGGCTTTTATTATATAGGATATAAAATTGCTAATCGTCACAAAGCCCTATGAGGCAGGTATACCATTTACTGATAGAAACTAAGGAGTAAAACATGAGCTGAATTTATAAAAATATAATTTTTAAAACAGATAAGAATGAGATTTTTTTGCATTCTCAAACAGTCATATATTTCAAAATAAAGAGCTTATATCCTTAAAAGAAATTGAACCAACTCATCCAAGATCACACAGTTAATAAGTGTTATTCCAAAAGTAGAGCCCAGATTTATCAGACGCCAAAGTCCAGACAATTTCTCTACATTATGCCCAAACAAAAATATTTTTCTGCTACTTCCACTGTGCCCTATGGTTTATTTTATATAGGACCCTATCAAATCAGTTTGTCTTGGAACTGGACAAATAGGTCAGGCAAAAGAACAATGGGATATAAATATTTTTCAACATGTAAAGAACTTGTTTAATGTTGAGAATAACAGTCTTTACCCAGTATGAGATAGTTTTCCTTTGTTTCACTTTGTTTTTTAAGGTTTTAATGGAAAGAAAATTAGAAAAATCTAATATACACTTACTAAATATTTCTAACACTGAAAGATTGTTGGAAGCTTCTCTTTTTTCTTCCCCCTCCCCCAAAAAATATCCAACTGAAAGTTTCACATTGGTTTTCTATTAAGACTTCTATTTCTTTGTTCTATATACATCTAAGAAAATTATCTCTTACGGTGAATTGAAAACTCCTCTGAGAGAATAGGCCGATAGCCAGTAACTAGTCCATTAAGGCCCCTGCATAGGACTTCAGATTACATTTCACCTGCATTGCTACTGCTCCCTTTTGTGCAGTAACCTCCTATATATTTCACACCTCACATTCATGCACCTCCATACCTTGGCCCATACAATTTCTTCACCTTGACATACCCTCCTCTCACCCTCTGGGAATCTATACCCACGTTCCCAAATGCCACATTTTCCAAGGAACCTCTCATGATCCTTTCATCTCACCTCAGGGTTTACAAGATTCTTCTGATATTAATTTACACAAACATTTACTCAATCACTCAGCAAATGTTTATTGAGCTCACTTTTGTATTTGATATAATTTTTGTGGTTGGGGTTTGGAAAATAACTTGAAGAAGTTGAAAGCTCCTACCTGGACAGGTGTTATTTCCTCATTTAGCCTGAAAAGTACCTGAGGACAAGAATGTATATGAGTCATCTCTGTAGTTCCCACAATATTTAAACCCATTACTTGCACATAACAGGTGCTCAATAAATAGTTGAAATAAATGTATTTTATGAGCAATGAACAAAAAACTAAATAAATGAGTAAAGGTTAATATAAAGTTACCAAAGGCTCAGTGCACAGATTTGTATACCAGTGGGGTCCCCTGGCCTGCGGGGATTGAGCCAAAACCAGCTCTCCAACATCCCCCGAGGGGTCCAGGATTGCGAGAGGGTGCAGGCCAGGCCAGGGGACCCCACCAGTGCATGAATCCATGCACTGGGCCTCTAGTATGCATATAAGATCTTTGGTTATTCTCTTCCCATCCTCCACCTTCCCCCCTTCCCTCTGAGATTCATCAGTCTGTTTCATGTTTCCATGCCTGTGGTTTCTGCTCCTGTGTTGAGTGTCTGCCCCCTGATGATCAGTGCGTGTCATAGCTACCAGTCTGATGGTCAAACGGTCGGCTGGTCACTTAGACTTTTATATATATAGATGACTAATACAGTGTGATAAAGTTAATAGAGTATGGTTTTTGTGCTCCCTTTGCAAAAAAAAGATAATAATTGTAAAATTTTATTAAATGTATCAATTTATTAAAGAACTAGAGGCCCAATGCAGGAAATTTGTGCACTGGGCGGGGGGGATGTTCCTCAGCCCAGCCTGCACCCTCTCGAATCTGGGACCCCTTGGGGCAGTCAGATATCCCTCTCACAATCCGAACTACTGGCTCCCAACCACTCGCCTGCCTGCCTGCCTGATTGCCCCTAACTGCTTCTGCCTGCCAGACTGATCACCCCCTAACCACTCCCCTGCCAGCCTGATCGACGCCTAACTACTACCCTGCCGGCCCGGTTGCTCCCAACTGCCCTCCCCTGCCAGCCCCGTCCCCCCTAACTGCCCTCCCCTGCTAGCCATCTTGTGGTGGCCATCTTGTGACCACATGGGGGCGGCCATCTTTGTGTGAGGGTTTGGTGGTCAATTTGCATATTACCTCTTTATTATATAGGATAGGAATAAAATATTTAAAGTACCTGACAGGTCTTTGGTGTTCAATCAGAGGTAGCTTTTATAGCCACAGTAACTGTTCACAAAGGAAAGATCAGATATAATAGTGGGTATTTTTGTTATTAATAGCAAATAAACAGGATTTAAAAAGAGAGAGAGGGACAAGAAATTCAGATAGACAACAAAAGTGGGCTCAAAACAATGTGGAAAAAAGTTCAAAAAAACAAAAAGGAAAATAGAATAATGAAAACAATCTACCTAAATCCTAAGTAGGATTTATATCACTATTTACCTTTCCAGTTCTAATAAGGAATGATGAAAGGACATTTGTCTTACATAACCATTTCTAGAATTACAAGATTTTGACAGAATCATACAAGATAGAGGTTCAGAAAAATCCACCTCTTCCCTGTTGAAACATTCTTTTTGTTATTTAGAACAGTAAGAAGCAGCCCATAAAAACTAAAAAGGAAATAATAGACAATGTAGAAACAGCATATCTTGCAGAGTTTACCTGGATTGTAAGTAGATTAGAGGAATGAGAACAAATTCTAAAATTCTGAGAGAATAGAGGAGCCACAAATATTACCACATTTGTAGCAAACTATAATTAATAAATTCAATAATTTTAAAATTGAATACTTTTAAAATATGGATAAGCCTTATAAAAAGGAAACAATTTTATCAAAAATTGTAGACTTAAATTTTAAAATATATCTTATCTTATAGGCATAATGCCTGATTATCCTATAAGCATGTGAATATGGGGTCTATGCAATTGAAATGCTGAAATAACTAGGGTGAGCTTGCATGAAAACTAGGAGGCTGTGGTCCCACACACAGCTATCATTGTGATAAAACTGTATTCTGGTGTGGTCTGATAATTCACTTCCTTTTATTGAATACATTCCTCTATTTTCAGAAACATAGATGATCTGAACAAGCAATAGGCAACATAACTTGAGCTGAACTGCCCAGAATTAACCCCCATCACTTTCCATAATTTGAAATTCATTCTTTTGCATTTTAAGGGCCATTTAGGTCAAGAGTTCCTCATTAAAAGACAAAAATCTCTCTTGAAGGGGAAATCCTTATTATCAACTAATACCCTAGTTAAGAGCTAGCTACGAACAAAGCCCTAAGGCAGTGGTTGGCAAACTCATTAGTCAACAGAGCCAAATATCAACAGTACAACGATTGAAATTTCTTTTGAGAGCCTAATTTTTTAAACTTAGACTATATAGGTAGGTACATTGTTATTAACTTAATTAGGGTACTCCTAAGGCTTAGGAAGAGCCACACTCAAGGGGCCAAAGAGCCGCATGTGGCTCACGAGCCACAGTTTGCCAACCACGGCCCTAGAAGAACAGGATAGGTACCTGGAAATGAGAAAACATGGTGAAGGCTGGGAAAGGGTGAGCTATAAGGAAAAGAAAAAGGAGAAGGAGCAGAGGGGAAAGAGATTAAAAGAGTCCTGGTTGCCTTACAATTTCTCTGGTCGGGCTTCGGAGCCTACATATATTTGCAACCATTTTCTTGCACACAGGTAGAAACTATAATGGAAGAAAATTACAGAGTAGACTTCATAATACAAATTACACAAAGCAAAACAAAACAAAACAAACAAAAACACAAATCACCCCAGAAAGAAGTGAGACCTGTTTGAGATTCCATTGAGTGTCAGGAAAGAAACTGGCCCCATAATGAATTTGGTAGGCAGTGGAGGGAGAACCAGTGACTTCTTGGTTCCTGGGTCGATGCTCAAACACTGAGCCACACTGGCAGGGCTGAATTCTCACTTTTATCCCAAACGCCCAAGTATCTCTGATGCTTCTGGGACTGCCAAGGGACCATCTAGGTAGATATCATTAGACTTCCTAGAATTGATTCGAATAGGAGCTATCTAAATCTTCTCTTTCTGGATCCTAAAAAGATTAGACATACAATAAAAAAATGAGATAAATAATGTAAAGTGCTTGTCAGAGAGCCTAATATATTGCAAATTTCAATAATTGGTAGCTCCCGTTGCCCTGTTGCTAGACAAAATAACTGAAAAGTTATCAAACTTAGGCTTCATCTTGTCTTTGTTCTGGCTCTAAGTACCTGTACTAAGTTAACACCTAAGACATTTTCTACTTTCTGTCCTCATTTCAAATATGGGACATGTAATTTTATTTAATTCCTCTCGTGTACAAAATAAATGGCTATTTTGAAGATTTAAAATGCTATATAGACTTCTGAAATTATTTTCCTCCCTTTATAGAGTAGCCCAAATTTGATTCACATGCTTTGACTGTCCTGACCAATGCCCTTTCTATGGAATTGGTGTGAGAAAAGAGTGAAGATAAGGGAATACAAAACGTTCAGTCACTTTAAACAAGTTGATGAGTTTATTAACATTATGAATGTTGAGACATGAGGAAACAATTCTATTCTTGTCCTAACTTGCCAGGGAACATAAACTTCTGACCCTTCTAGTCTTGTGTCATGTTTAGGTATATATGAACTCATGTGTGTCAGTACCTGGACTTACACCAGACTTCCAGATAACCCTCTGATTATCCCTTGAAGGACTCACATATCCAGATCTCATGATATTCAACTAACATCCATTGTCCAAAACACCAGATGTGATCAGACCTCCTGCCGCCATTCATCTTCCAGACCAACTGGAATTCATTGTCCAGACCGCCTAACATCAGACTGCTAACGGTCCTTGACTAACCCTAAACCTAAGAATGCAGGATTGATAATTCTCAATCTTGTACTTCTTAGTATAAGAACTCTTAATTTTCCTTCTTTGGAACACTCCTAGGTTTTTGCCTCACTGCATTTCCATTTTGCAAACCATAATGCCCTTGATGTCCCAGGCACCAAGGAGTCTCGGGTTCAATTCCAGTCAGGGCACATGCCTGGGTTGTGGGCTCGATCCCCAATAGGGGGTGTGCGGGAGGCAGCTGATCAATGTTTCTCTCTTATTGATGTTCCCCCCTCTCTCTATTTCTTTCCCTTCTTCTCTCTCTCTAAAATCAATAAAATGCATTAAATAATAACTGTAAAGATCCTTGATTAAATATTTATCATTTCTCTCTAGCCAAAGCCTTCAGAACACTTTTTGAGTTTGTCCAACAGATGCCATGCCTCAACAGCTAAATCTATTCCCATGATTCAAACAAAAGATGTCTCCAGGTTAAATGGCAAAATATTTTTGTTTAGAAAATATTTAAGAGAAATATGTATGTGTAGAAAACATTCTAGCAGAAAAACCAGTAACAGTATACTGAAATGAAGGGAGGGCTGCAGAAGGCAAAATTATAATCTTGGTGTCTTTCTAAGGAGAAGGTCAATGTTCACTGAAAGGGATGTGTTAATGAATAAAGACATTAAAGTTGAAATAATGCAACCTTGGGTTTGCAAGCAATATTTGCATTAGAAATGGATTGCAGGTTCAAGTGCCTTAAATAGGAGGTTTGTGGTGATATCAGAAAATAGCCTTATTCTTCTATCAAATTCATTTTATGGGGCCAGTTCCTTTCCTGTCAGGAAATGGAATCTCAAGCACATCTTACCTTTTTCTGTTGACTTTCAAAAGGTTAAAAAAAAAAAAAAGCCCTCTGGCCATCTTTAGTCCCACAAAAAAGTTCATTTCAAGATTAATATATCTCAATTCGCTTTGAACTTCATTTAAATTAAAATTTCTTTCTTCCCACTACAACATATCCAACGCCTACCATTGGGACCGTCCAGATTTTATCTCTGCTTTCTTTCTTTCTTTCCTAGTCTCTCCCAACCTCTCCCCACCCCACACACCCATCTCTTTCCTCACAACTGAACAGGCTGCTTCTGTCTCTTCCGGAGTTGAAACTTGTAAGGGAGGAATTATCGAGGAAAGAAATTTCTTCCTTGCCTCCTTTGTCAAAACAAGTATTTAAAACTGACTCTCAGCCCAGCCAGCGTGGCTCAGTGGTTGAGTGTCAACCCATGGTTATGGTTCGATTCCCAGTCAGGGCACATGCCCGAGTTGCAGGCTCAATCCCCAGTGTGGGGGTGTGCAAAAGGCAGCCAACCGATTGTTCTCTATCATTGATGTTTCTCTTTCTTTCTGTTTCTCTCTCTCTCTCTCTCTCTCTCTTTCTCTCTCCCTCCTTCCCCTCCCTCTCTGAAGTCAATAAAAATATATTTTTAAAACTGACTCTCATGGCCACTTTGGTGAGTCTTTGGAGATCCCATCCTTCTGTCATGATGTCACCTGCAGTGTTCTCGGCAAGGTAAATGCACCTTGCCCCTCGTCTGACTAGTCACACACAACTTCTTCAAATTTTGACATGCAGCACACATCTTTAGCCTCTTTCAACTGAGGTCTCAAAATTGCTCTGTGTAATCCAATCAGTCCATAGCTAAGACAACCCCAAACTAGCTCTGGCTGGGCCACCATTGACTGGGGTGCCACTACTTTTAAAATAGAGCCCTCTACCCTGGCCAGTGTAGCTCAGTTAATTGGGCATTGTCCCATGCACCGAAAGGTTGCCAGTTTGATTCTCAGCCTGGGTTGGAGGCTCCATCTCTGGTAGGGGGCATGCAGGAGGAAGCCACGTGATGTTACACTCTCACATCGATGTTTTTCTCTCTCTCTCCCTCTCCCTTCCTCTCTCTAAAGATGAATTTAAAAAATAAATAAATGAATAAAGTAAAATAGAGCCCTTTCTTTCTTCTGCCTCCCAGCAGATGGATCCACCCACAGCCTTTTACCTTTTAGACTTCCTAAGCGGGAGTCAGATACCAGTCCCCTATGTTCGCCGAACTACAGAGGACAAATATAGTGCCCTCTGAATAGATTTAAAGGTCAGGCTTACAGTCGGGAGAAAGAACACTTCACCCTGCTCTGAAATTGAAAAGTTTGCAGGTATCCGCCATACCGCTACGAGAGATACTAAACCTTCTGTAACAGCAATCTGCTTAAAACAGTAAGTCGTGAGCCAAAAAAAAAAAGAAATAGATAAGTCACTGCTACAAAACTGAGCCCATAACTAGACCCTGTATAAATGAAAATGTAATATATGGAAGGTACTTCAATGTATATAGCCATACGTTTGTTTGTGAAAAACCAATATTATTACTCTTACAAGATCCTGCATTAAATAAAATTGTTGTCACTCTCAGAAAATTATAGACAAGGCAATTAGAAAAACCAAAGGGTCTTATGGTAAATAAGTTTTAAATCTACCTTACATTTTTTTCTCACACAAAAGTGACTGAATTGCAACCCACAACAACCCAAATAAATTAATTTCTTTTACCTTAGTATTCACCATCATCTTCATTCACTGCTGCTTCAGTACTTGTAAGATCATCAGATTTTTAAAAACTTCCATATTGAGTAAACAATATGAATAAAGCTCTGCACACTTGTAAGCCGGAGTGTCTTGCTCCGAATCAGAGCTACAAATAAAGGACCTTTGTTTATATAAGTTTTAATCCTTTGGTAAAGTTTCTTTGGCTCTGAGGGTTGCATAAATCAGGTTATAGAAAAGATTAGTCACTTGGAGCCAGAAGCTCCTCCTTGCTGGTTTAGTTTTTTTTGTTTCTTTTTTTTTTTTAACAGTTAACCCTTCTGTTGCCATGGCTTATACTATCACATCATGTCAAAAGTCTACAGAAACACTCAGTTAATGAGTTGACTTGCCAAGCCTCCGTTTTTTTCTTTTGTGATTAAGAAGAAAAACCACAGACTTGTTGATTTATTAACTTAGTAAACTAAGATGCTTAAAAATTGAGCCTAAAGTTTCTGTGTAGCTGGATAACCTCAGAAAAGATGACATCCAATAGACGTAGACTTGGGAGCATAAGGTCACTGTAGGCAGGAACATTCCTTCTATAGGGTAGCATCAACATTCCGGGGGGAAGCACGAACATTTTTGTATAGCAGGCTGACGTGAGAAAACCAGGGATCACCAATTATTCTACCAATAACTTGCTAGCTGGTTTGGATGAGTCAGAAATTAGAGGCCCTGTCAGGTGCTGAGGTGGTCGGATTTAGGTGGGATTTGGGACGGACTGGCAAGGATCGCCTGGCTTGACATTTTAAAGGGGAAACCTAAGACAAATGGTATGGGATGCTTCAAAGCTCCAGCTTTTAAGAGCCCAGATCCAACCCGGCGGGCATGGCTCAATGGTTGAGCATTAACCTAGGAACCAGAAGGTCACGGTTCTCGGTCAGGGCACATGCCCGGGTTGCAGGCTCAATTCCCAGTGTGGGGCGTGCAGGAGGCAGCCAATCAATGGTTTCCTCTCATCATTGATGTTTCTATCTCTCTCTCTCTCCCTTCCTCTCTGAGGTCAATAAAAATATATTAATAAGAGAACCAAGATCCAGCTCTGACTAGCTGTGATTCTGGACAAGTTCATTAGCCTCCATTTTTCAAGCTATGCTATAGGATAAATACAGCACTTACCTCAAGCAATAGCTGAAGTTATTGTCCTTTTATTCAGCAACTATTTGCTGAGTGTCTATTTCATGCCAAATACTATTCTAAGTGCAAGGGACATATTAATAAGTAAAACAGTCTAGATCTCTACCTCATAGATTTTGTTTGTTCTGACTGAAGAAAGGGAAAAAAATAAACAAGTCAGCATAAGAAGATCAAGAGGGAATATTTTCCTTTTACTAGGCCTATTTAATAAATATATTTGCTTAGCCAACTTCTATGCATTCATCAGATTTCAGCTCAACCATCCTTTCCGCATAGATGCCTTCACTGACAGCCAATCCTGGGCCAGGTTATTTGGTTACATGCTCCAGAGAACCATGTTCTCTTCAGGATAATAAACTCAGTTTGTTTTTATTTAATTAATGTCTATCTTTTCTGCTAGACAGATGTCTCTTGGAAACATAGAGCTGTCTTTGCACAGTGCCTAGCACAGTACCTGGCACATAACACACATTCAGAAAAACTTTGTTGAGTGAATGAAATTATTGTGTTCCTAATGTTTGCAAGTATAATCCAGTTCAAGTTTGGAAACAGAAATGCAAAACAGGGTATGTTTAATAAACCTGATTTCCATTCTTTTAATCAGACTTTCACCTTTGGCCATTCTGCATATTCACTCACTCAACTATTGACTGACAGAGCCAATGTGAAGTGCTTGATTAATGCTATCGCTCTTAGATAAATAAATTAAAAAAAAAGATGACTAATGAGCCTGGCCAGTGTGGCTCAGTAGTTGAACCAGGTGAGGGTTTAATTCCCAGGTCAGGGTTTAATTCCCAGACAGGACATATGCTCAGGTTGCAGGCTTGATCACCAGTTGGGGGCATGCAGGAGGCAGCCGATCAATGATTCTCTCTTATCCTTGATGTTTCTACATCTCTCTCTCTCTCCCTTCCTCTCTGAGGTCAATAAAAATATATTAATAAGAGAACCAAGATCCAGCTCTGACTAGCTGTGATTCTGGACAAGTTCATTAGCCTCCATTTTTCAAGCTATGCTATAGGATAAATACAGCACTTACCTCAAGCAATAGCTGAAGTTATTGTCCTTTTATTCAGCAACTATTTGCTGAGTGTCTATTTCATGCCAAATACTATTCTAAGTGCAAGGGACATATTAATAAGTAAAACAGTCTAGATCTCTACCTCATAGATTTTGTTTGTTCTGACTGAAGAAAGGGAAAAAAATAAACAAGTCAGCATAAGAAGATCAAGAGGGAATATTTTCCTTTTACTAGGCCTATTTAATAAATATATTTAGAAAACTGTGTGTGTGTGTGTGTGTGTGTGTGTGTGTGTGAATAAATCAGAACATTTTTTTCTACAGTATATTCTATCAACCCAAGAGAATACCTAGTAATTCTCAGGTATTATTTGTACTGTTCCTTGGCCTCTACGGGTGAGACTTCTCCCATTGTTTTCAACTGTTTAATTTTGGAGAAGGATGGACCCCAAAATGTCCACCATCCTGCTGCCCTGGGAATTATTCAAAGTGGGCAGGGGGCGTGGGGCGGTGGGAGATCATGAGGTGGTGATCCCTCCTGTCACCTCATCAGAAGCCCCATGAGGAAGCCACCCTCCCTAGGGCGGAAGCAAACAAGCTTGATGTGCTTGCAGATTGCTAAGACTGGTGGAGCAGGAGCAGGGGGAACTCAGGGTGAGGACAGAAGTGGATACAATGAAGCAAGGAGGCTGAGCAGAGGCCAGATCACACCCAGTGCTGTGCGCACAGCAAGGAGTTGGGTTTGTGTTCTATCAGAAATGGAAAGCGATTAAAAGATGTGAGCAGGGAAGTGACTTGATTAAGGTTGTGTTTCTAAAAAAAAAAAAAAATCGGTTTGGTCGCTGTGTAGAGAAAAGGGGGGACACAAAAGGCAAGAGTGGAGCCGGACCTACTGCAAAGGTCCAGGCGTGAGATCTCCAGTGACACGGGGAAGGGCGTTGGCACCAGCCGTGGAGAGATCTGTACACATTGTACAGAATGTGTTTGGGCAACAGACTGAAGAATGTACCGATGGAAGTTTTCTAGGAACTTTTGCACAAGGGAAATATTTAGAAAACTCTGTGGCAACTCCCTGGACAAGGGCCCTCAATGTGTCTGGCCCCCGATTATTTTCTCTAGTACCTCTTCTATTCTGGTAAGATTGTACACAAAATAATTTTCCTGACTTCGCTGAGCCTGGCCAACAAGAGAAAACTAGCTGTTACTGTGCAGCTAAAGGACTTAAAAGCGATAGGGAAAGTACTTTTGAAACATCGATAATTGCCTCTAGGTCATAACCAACACACTCTTTTTGCTTGTCTCTATCAGCCACCTGTTAAAATGCAGAAACAATGCCTCTACTTTGAATAAATATCTACCCAAGGTCATCATCCCTCCCTCAACAGCATTGAGACGCAGAGTCCTTTAAACTGCCACTGTTCCCTGGCTCTGTTCCCAATGTGTAATGTGATTCCTTAACTTTCAGCAGGTCTTACCACATGTAATACCACATGTAATGTTGCACCCGAAGCCCTCTGCATGCGCTCCTCCACACACGCCTGGTGAGTCCACCTGACACCCTACATTGTTCACTTAAAAAGCATCCCAGGCCCTTCTTTGCGGATGGAAATCCAGGGTGGTCCGCATCATGCTGAAGATATGCTTCTATAAGTTGCTAAATAAAAGCTCTAGGCCAGCATCTGAATCAGGAAAGCTGATTTTGGTTAGCTTTTTCGTGGGAGGTTTGTCTGTCTGTTTTGTACAGAAAAGACAGAGCGCTAAACTGCAAAGATTGAGCTTGTTATCCACTCTAGAAAAAAAGGAAGGAAGGAAGGAATGAAGGGAGGGAGGGAGGTAGGGAGGGAAGG